GCAGGAAAACAAAGGAAATCTACAATCTTTTCCCCAAACAAAAACCATAAAAATAAGTACTTCCATTTCTAAAATCTTACCATCAAAAACAGTAACTCCAAAAGAAAACCACAATCCAAATTCACCTTGATGTCACTGCCCAGGTGAGCTTCCCTGCTGTGATTTCTAAAGTCCCTTCCACTGAAGAGGACTCTATGCACTGTACAAAGTAAAGGCAATCTACTGGAATTCCCCAAGGGCTGTAACTCTTGGAAACCCAGCAGTCAGTCACACAAAGTGGCAAACCCCAGTAAGCAGACTCTAAGGATACAGCCAGCCTGCCACCCTCCCTGGAGATTTTGTAGAAATTATGAAATCTTAACTGATGTGGTATTTAATCTTTTCACCCACCATAACAGTTCCTTTTTTTTTGGAGCCAAGTTCTGGCTTTGCAGTGCAGGCTGGTCTTGAACTTGCAGAGAACCTCTTGCCTCAGCCTTGAATGCTCAGATTACAGGTGTGCACAATCATGCCTGGCCAACTGTGACAATTCTTATTTGACATTAATTTTGTGGGTTTTTGAGACAGGGTCTCACTATGCATTTCGGGTTCGCCTTGAGCTTGCTCTGTAGCCCAGGTTGGGCTCAAACTCACAAGGATCCTCCTCCCTAGTATTGGGATATTAATTTTGGAAAGTGTAAGTATCCTGCTTCTCAAACTACAATGGAAACTCCTCATGCTTTATTCTACTCTTACTTCCCAGTTATACATACTTGATACATAATGCAGAAGTCGCTTAGGTGTCATGAGCACATTTTCCACGACAGGTAACTTTTTTTTCAATGTGATCTGAGTGTATTTTGACTCCATAACCAATCAAAAAACACACCAAGGGATGGTGACAACACACCTAGAATCCCAACACTTGGGAGGCTGAAGCAGGATGATCCTGCATTCAAGGCCAGTTTGGCCTATACTGTAAGACCCTGTTCTCCATAAAATAAAAGCCAGACACAGCAGAATGTGGGTGTAGTCCCAGCTACTCAGGAGGCTGACGCAGCATGGCTGGAACCCAGAAGTTCAAAGCTAGCCTAGATACCATGGTCAGACCAACCAAAAACAATCCCCAGTACCAAAAACAAAATCAAACAAACAAACCCAATGATGATGAGGCTGAACCAAGGGGATTACAGCAAGTTCAAGGCCAGCCTGGGCTATAAAGTGAGTTCACAGCCAGCCTGATCTACACAGCAGAATCCTATCTCAAAAAAACCAAACAACAAAACACATCTGTAGATATACCACAATACTACCTGAGTTCAACTCCCCAGTACCACAAATATAAGTTATAAAATAAACTAAAAATGCTTAGAATTATGTATTACTTCAAAACCCCAAACACTCATCCACTCACAGTAAAAGCACTCTTAATAAGCCAGTCTACCGGCACTCAGGAGGAGGCAGGAGGATCACTGTGAGTTTGAGACCAGCCTGAGCTACAAAATGATAGTTAAGACCCTGTCTCAAAAAAAAACTGATAGTAAGACCCTGTCTCAAAAAAAAAAAAAAAAAAAAAAAAAAAAAGACAATAAACTAATAAGCCAGTCTAAATTCTAAACTTCAGCCAGGCAAGGTGTCACACATCTATATTCCTAACACATAGGAGGCTGAGGCAAGAGGATTACTCAGAGTTCAACCCCAGCCTGAACAGTGAGATCCTGTCTCAAAAAAAAAAAAAAAGAAAATAAAGTCCTTCAAAGTAATGATAAATTCAAAATGTTTGTAAATTATGACTTTTCTTTCAACATTAACTGTTGTACCCCATACATTCAAATTAACTAGGAAAAAATCTATTTCGTCGCATTTCTCTAATAAAAGATATTTTTAAAACTGCCTGGTGGTGGCAGCATAATACAGTTTCTCAGCAAAAGTATTCTTAAACTGCAGAGATAAAATACATTGAGCTTTTTGAGAGACACAGACAGGAGTAACAATACGTATATGATTCTTAGCAACCAAAAATAAAGACCCCTAGCTGGGTGTGGTGGCACACTCAGAAGCAGAAGTCAACTTAAGATAGACCCTATCTCAAAAATACATACATACATAAATACATAAAATAAAAGGGCTGGGAATGTAGCTCAGTGCTGAAGGCCTGGTTCAATCCCCAGTAGCGAATGGGGAGAGGGAATAACCAGATCCTTCTTCAAACAGAATTATACATATCCTAAGTGTAGAAAAATAAAGCCTTACCCAAACTCCTAGATACAGGAGTGATCTGTTATAGGAAAAAACAAACCCTTTAGAACATACCACTACCTTGAATTTTCTTCAGAGCAGCTTGGCAAGGGCCACACCTGTCATCCCACCACTCTGGTAAATAAGGCAGGAGAGGGGGCTGGGGATTTAGCTCAGTGGCGTAAGCACCTGCCTTGCAAGCAGGTGGTTGTGAGTTCGATCCCCGGTACCAATAAAAATGAAAAAGACAAAAAAAAAAAAAAAAAAAAAAAAAGGCAGGAGGATCCCAAGTTTGACCCTAGCCTGGGAAATTTAGAGAGACCATATCTCAAGATAAAAAATTCCAAAAAAGATAGAAAATTCCTTAAGTAGGCTAAGGAGGTAGTTCAATGGAAAGTCTATGGGTGAAGAGGGCTCTTCTCTCAGAGAGCTCAAAGTCTACAATAAACATTTCATGTTTATTGAAACATGGGTGTGGTTGCACATGCCGAAAATCCCAGCACTTGGCAGGCTAAGGCAGGAGGATCACTGGCTGTTAAGGCCAGCCTGGGCTACAAAATGGGTTCAAGGCCAGCCTGAACTGCATAGTGAAGCACTGTCTCAAAATGACAAAAAAAAAAAGTTAATTTTTAAAGGAGATCATATCAGCATCTACAACAGAAAAAAAAAAAAATACCAAGATCCACAGATTAACCTGTAGGTTTCTGTCTTATTAATATTCGTTTTGAGATGCAATATTACTGTTATCCAGGTCCACCCATAATTCCTAGACTTAAGACATCCTTCTGCCTCAGCCTCCTGAGTGCCTAGGGATACAGCTGTGGGCCACTGTTATCAGGCTACACGGTTACTTTCTTTACCTTTTTTTTTTTTTTTTTTTTGTCTTTTTCTTTTTTATTGTACCTGGGATGAAACTCACAACCACACACTTGCAAGGCACAACCACACACTTGTAAGGCAGGCACTTATGCCGCTGAGCTAAATCCCCAGCCCCTACATAGTTACTTCCTAAGTAACTGTCTCAATTGAAAGGTATACACACAAGAAGTCAAAAAGTAGTAAACTCAAGCGTGTCTCTTTTCCATGTTTTCTCAAAGTTTATTGAGCTACCTAAATTTTTGAAACACTGATATCTAAGATTCATGGACAATGAATTCCCAGATGCCTGAGAAACACCAAAGACATTTGTAATCCCAGCACTCAGGAGGCTAAGACAAGATTGCGGAGTGGCCAGCCTGAGCTACATATAGTGAGTTCAAGGCCATCCTCGACTACCTAGCAAGGCCTTGTTTCAAAAAAAAAAAAAAAAAAGTCAAATCAAAACAAAACCCCACCCAGAAAATTTCATTAACTCAAAAATCAAAACAAAGAATGTTAAGTCTAGCAGATGTAAAGGTGGGATCAAGACAGTACAACAGGATAAGAACGTTGAAGTATGCAAGGTCTGGTGGGGTGTATGGAAAATGTGTACTAATAATAAAAGAAGTCAGGCTATGATGGGTCCTCAGCTTGACAGTATTTAGGTTGGATAGAAAAGGTATAGTAAAGGCACTTTACAGAATTTTGCAGACTCACAAATTCAATAAACACATTGGAGGCAACCTAGATTGTTGCATTTAAAAAACCACTACCCCAAATTTAAAAACAAATCCTTGCCTGTAATCCCAGCACTCCGAAGGCTGAGGCAGGAGAATTGCTGCAAGTTGGAGGCCAGCGTGGCTATATAGTGAGTTCAAGGCCAGATTAAGTCTTAAAGCCTCCAAAAATCCTCATTTCTAGGGATACTGAACTCTGGATTTCATTTTTAGGAGTTACTGGAACAGCTTCTATTCTTTGGACATCCCGTTACTGAAAATAATTATCTTTCACCCCTTAACTGTACCTAAAAGCTTCAGCCCGATCATTGGTAACTGTCACAGGGTAAGGCTGGGAACGCTTAAATCTCACCGTTAATACCACAATAAGTTCTGTAATATCAGAGATACTTCTACATATTTACATACACAGTGGCAGCCAGATGAAAATTGGCCTTTAACTTGGATTTTTTCCAACCCATAAAGTACAAAGCAAATGCTTAGTCACTATTGACCTTTGCTTTAAAAAGAAAAAAAGGTCACACACAATTAACCTAAGGTGAGCAGCTCGGTAATTCTTTTACACGCGTGGCCTGCGTGCACCTGGCAAGCCCGCACCACTAAGAGTATTTTTCTAACACTCTCCACTCGCTTACCCAAAACTAAACCTCCTTCCTTGGGGTCCCCGATTAAGAAAGAGGGCGCGTTAATTTCAAAAGGCTCGCGGCGCCGGGGCAGAGAGCAATATTTCCCCAGTTTGTAAAACCAAGGGCCAGAGACAGGACTCCAACCCCCGCGTCGCTGGGATCCGAGACAAAGCTCGGAGCCGCTGTCCGCGACCAACGTACAAAGCGCTGCAGCGCTGAGCGCGGGGCAGAGGACGCAGTGCGTTAGATGCGACCAGCCGGCGGGACAGGCCGTTGACCCGGTCACAGCCTCGCGCCAGCGCCGATGCCCCAGGCCGCAGCGGGACCGAGCGCCAGTCGCAGCGGAGGAGCCGCCTTCTCTCTGAACCCCTAGCGCCGAGAGCTCCACATCGGGCTGGCGGAGCGCGTGGAGGCCTGCGACGAGCAGCGGGAGTTGACGCAGTGGCCGCGGCAAGGGGTGGCGATCGCGGGACGGCGTCGCCGGCGGCCTCGCAACCCGGCTGTCGCCCCAGCACCGCCCCACTCGCGCCGTCCTTCCCTCTCCCGCCGCGCAGCGCCCTACCTGCAGGTGACCTGCTTGGTCCAGCCGCCGCCGCTGCCTTCGCTGCCGCCGCCCTCCCCGCCCGCCCCCGGCGACGGCACCGTGACGGTGGGGAAAGGGGCGAGGGAGGCCGCTGCCGCTCCTGATGTTGTGGCTGTTGTTCCGGGAGCCGCAGCCTCCGCCATTACTGTTTATCCCACACAGCAGTGGCCCCGGAACTTCCGGGATCACATAGTTCCGGTCCGGCAGTGAGGAGACGGCTGCGAGGGGAGGGCAGGAAAAGAGGCCGAGGCTCCGGCTCGCGTCCGCGTCCCCGCGTGCGCTGTGGACACTAGAATGGCAGACCGCAGCGTGCTCGCCCGCGGCCCGCCCCTGGCGCCGCTGATTGGTGGAGCGGAGGTCTCCGCCGGCGAGGGGCGGAGCCACGGGGGGCGGTCCTGCCAAGCTCACCTGTTAAGGGCCGGAGGTGGAAGTCTATATGGAGAGTCAGGGTTTGGGAGGGTAGGGTTCGGATACCCCTGGCTCAAGTGCCTAGAACACAATAGGCTAGACACCTATTCGCCCTGAACCTCGGGTTTTTTTCTGTCTCCAATGTGAATTACCTGATAGGGTTTGTTAGCTGTCAGGCTCAAAATGCAGGTGTCAAGCCCCCACAACCTTACAAGGCAACCTTACCTAAAAACTTTCTGAGAACCAGGCGTGGTGGCACACGTTAGTAACCTGGCCACAACAGGATTCCAAATTGGAGTCCAGCCTGGGCAGTTTAGTGAGTTAGAGCATTAAGTGGTCTTGGTAGGGAATGCCTTAAACCTAGCTCTTGAGAGGCCATGGGAAGAGGATTGCAAGTTCAAGGCCAGGCTTAACTGCGTAAGTAGTGGCTTAGTACGAAGGTCCTCTGTTCAAAACCCGATATGGAGCTGGGCGTGGTGGCACACGCTGTAATCCCAGCATTTGGGAGAGACTGAGGCAGAAGGATCAAAGAGATTAAGTGTACACTACAGTGAAACTCTGCCTCAAAAAAAAAAAAAAAAAAAAGATTTAGAATGTCACTAGAGATGTAGCTCTGTCTATGCAAAGCTCTGGTTCGATCCCCAGCACTCCCCAAACAACACAGAACACTTCTGACTGATGCTGCCTTTGTTAATGCCTTTGTAGCCAGGGGTTCATATATTTGAAAACAATTTACGTGATTCTCATTTTACCTTGAAAAATTCCCCTTGCCTCATTGCCTTCAAAACATCATTTGCTGATGCACAATTCCCCTGCAGTGTCCCTTCCCCAGCGAAGTGGTTAATCTTTGGAGAATATTTGTTTTTAATCCCTGATACCAACGGTATATACAAGGGGGAAAATACCGCTCCCAACCTGCCAGATGACAACACCAGTTTGTGCCTCTGAAATCAAAGAATGAATTCCAAAGGACAAAGGAGGAAAGGTTTACTGGGGTGGGTTGCCACTGAAGCCTTTGAGATAATTTATGCAGCAGAGTCACAACATGGATACAATGTGGGTCAAAATGCCACAGGTACAAGTGTTATAGGCAGCTAAGTTTGATAGAAATATTATACGCAGTCAGACAGGGTAGGCCCTCAAAAGAGCCAGTGCAGAAGAGGAGATAAGATACAGTTAAACTGTGGGGGAGACCACACCTTCACTGAGAGCCAGACCTCAAAATAAAAGATGAATGCACCCATATACTTCCTAAGGATAAGCAACAGGGATTGATATTCTAAATAGGTATCATCACCTTGAGGAAGCCAGGAAAAGCCACTGACCCAACCCCTTAGAGGAGAGTCCCTGTTCTGTTCCATGCCTACTTGTTACCTGACTGTAATCAATTTTACCAGAGCAGTTATGCTTGTAATCTTATTGGCTGACCATTGTTTTGTCCCACCTCATGATTTTCCATTTTTCTCCACTTTAGACCTGCCTTAACTCATGGTTTTGCTCTATAACAATCCCTAGAAAAGGCAGGGTCCTTCTGTCTAAGAAGCTTTCTTTCCCCACTAAATAAATTCTGCTGTTAACTTCCATTGTTCCTAAAATTCATTCTTTGATTTGAATTTTTATTTTTTGTCTTTTTTGAGACAGGATCTCTTCATGCAGTTCAGGCTGGCCTTGAGTTCACTTTGTAGCTGGTGGTCTTGAACTTGCAACAATCTTCCTACCTAGCTTCCTGTGTGCTGGAAACTCATATGGGATGTCCAGCAGGATGGGAGTTTCTTTCCCCTGTATCACAAGTACAGTCATTTAGCCAATATTGGCCTGATAGGGAAATAGATCACTTAGCAAGGGTACAGGGAAAGAACAAAGGCATTTTGGACAAGGGATGTTCTGGTCACCACCTGGGTGACTGATGTCTAGCTGGACTTTACTGGACCAGGTGATACCCGTTATAGTATAATTCCAAATTACTGCTTATCCCTTAATGGAGGCATGTAGGGTCAGTCCTTGCAAATTTATCTTGAGGCTTGGTGTTCTTCAAATGCACCTCCAGCAACAATGCTGGTGTCTATTTATTCTGCTGACTTCTTTGAGACCGGGTCCCTCTCTGACTGTATAATAATTTCTATCTCTCTTAGCTGTTTACTGTTAAGTATTCTGGCTCTAGAGAAGCAAAAAATACAAAGTGAACAGGTTTATTAAGGGTGTAAAAAAGGAGCACACATGGTGGCTGAGCTGTCTCCTTCTACCAGACACAGAGAAGCAGAGGGTTATGTGACCTCTGATTGGAAGTGGCACATGGGGCAGATATTAGTGATGTGTGAGGAGCCGACTGTAATTCTCTGTGCATGCAAACAGAAAGGGGAGTTGCAATTAAGACTGAGGAAGAAGCAGGAAGTGGTAAGCAGTCCCGCTTTGGCCTTGGGCCACATTAGACCACCGCCATAACCATACAGTAATTTATACTAGATCAAGAACATTTCACCTGGGGGCTGGGGATTTAGCTCAGCAGCATAAGCGCCTGCCTTGCAAGCAGGCAGTCATGAGTTCGATCCCCGGTACCGATTTAAAAAAAAAAAGGAAAAGGAAAAAGACAAAACAAAACAAAAACATTTCACTTACAATAAATCATTTTATCTTCTATTCCTCCTGGCACCAACGCCTGGGCCAGCCGGTTTCAGCTCTCAACCCAAGAGACAGCAGCACACGCAGCTTCTTCCTTCCCCTGGTGGTCCTGCATTCTCTTTCACCAAGATGGAGAAAAGGAGGAAAAGGAGGACAAGGAGGAAGAAGGAGAAAAGAATGAGCCAGGGACAGAAGTTCATGTCTGTAATCTTGGCACTCTGGGAGGCTGAGGCAGGAGGACCACAAATTCTAGCACAGCCCAGGCAATTCAGGGTAACCCTGTCTCAGAATCTTAAAGGGGCTGAGAATATAACTCACTGAAAGGCCCTAGGTTCAATCCTATGTCACATTACCCAGTTCATCTTAGAAATTATTCTGCAACTCAACACTAGTTTAGAAAACAAACACTAGTGTAAGAAGATGCATTAGAACAACTAGAACAGGCCAGGCATGGTGGCACGCGCCTGTAATCCCGGCACTTGAGAGGCTGAGGTAAGGAGATCATTGTGAGTTCGAGACCAGCCTGGGCTACAAAGTGGAGCATGAGGCCAGCCTGAACTGCATAGTGAGACCCTGTAAAAAAGCTAGAAGAGGTTTCATAAGACTCTGTTACAGTTCTCTTATTGTGACAGTGTCTGAATGTTATTGCCTCAGCTCATTGTTCTTATTTAGGTTGGGTTTTGAGACAGGATCTCGATTTGTAGTCCACGATGGCCTTCAACTCATGATAGAGCCCAGGGTAGACTTGAACTCCTGGTGACCCTCCTGCCTCAGTCTCCTGATCCCAGGTGTGCATCACCATACCTGGCTCACTGTTCCAGTTTGAAGACTTAACCTTTTCTTCCTGTTTTCCTTCCCCCTCTAGGCCAGCCAACCTGCTCTCCACCAGTGAAATCCTTCCTTAAGCACAGAACCACTGGCACCCCTCACTTCCATACTGGGAAACATGTTCTCAGGAGACAACAGAGCTCTCCAAGTCTCATGGGTCTTTTGCTTCTTTCCAAGTTGTGCAGGAGCAACCTTCTTTTTCCTTTTATTCATTTACTTATTGTCTTTTTGACACAGTTCAGACTGACTTGAGCTCACTTTGTAGCCCAGGCTGGTCTTGACCTTGCAAGAATCCTCCTGCCTCAGCCTCCTCCAGCCCTGGGATTACAGGAATGCGCCACCACACCCGCTTCCTTTTTCCTTTTTAACTGCTAGCCAGGTCCACCTCAGAATCACTGAAAGAATTTCCTTAGTGTTAGGCATGCACAGTCTTCTGAGACCCACAGCCTACTGCTGCTCTGGTTGGTCTCCCACACTGAAGCTTAAATAAGGGAGGGAGCTGAGTGTGGCAGTACAGGCCTGGAATCCCAGTACTTGGGAGGTTGAGGCAGTAGGATTTCTGGGAGTTGAAGGTTAGCCTGGGCTATATAGTAAGGCTCAGTCTCCAAAAAAAAAAAAAAAAAAAAAGAAAGAAAGAAAGACTGAAGATGCAACCACGTGAAGGCCTGAAGGCCTTAGGTTCAATACCCTGAGTCACACAATAAAGGGAGGAGGTGGAGTGGGGAGGGGCAGGAAAGAAGGGATGGGAGTTAGGTGTGGTGGCCCAAGCCTGTAATCCTACTCCGGAAACAGTTTGGGGTGTGTCTGGGAAGCCGGATCCTGACTCTGGGAGAAACTGACCTTGAGCCTCTTTGGTTCTTTTTTGTCCTTGATGAAGCAATTCATCCTTGGAGACTTTTTTTTTTTTTTTGAGACAGGGTCTCGTTATGCAGTTCAGGCTGGTCTTGAGCTCACTTTGTAGTCCAAGCTGGTCTCCAACTTGCAACGATCCTCCTGCCTCAGCCTCCCAAGTTCTGGGATTACAGCGTTTTTGTGATATAGGAGAATGAAACTAAATCTAGTCGTACTAGACGTCCCAGTACGACTTTGTGTTTTCTAAAATCAAAGAATGAATTTTAGGAACAACAGAGGTTAAAAGCAAAATATATTTATTGAAAAAAAGAAAGCTTCTGTGTGAGAGACAGGAGTCCCAAGCCGGTTGCCAAGGATTCTGTCTTTTCTAGGTACTTTTATTGAGTAAAATCATGGAGATGAGATGGGTCCAAGGTGGGGAAAGATAGGAACTTGCAAGGTGGGCATAATGTGGGACACATAAAGTGGGACAGAACTCAACCAATAAGATTAATTACTCAGGTAAAATTAAGTCAGGAACAAATGGGAAAGTGAGTCAGAGGAGCGGGCATGCTTAACAGCAGTGACTCTTCCTGGGGGTGGGGG